GTGCCATGTGTTCAGAGATTGCAGCCAAAGAGGGGAAAAAACTGATGTTGGATCCGGAATTCAATTATTTAACCGGAAAAGCTAAACTTACTACGGTGTATTTTGATGAAGAGGGGAAAAAAGTGGTTTTGGAATTGAAAAACAATAAACTTTATCCAAAATCTAGTCTGGTCTTTGTGTCTCAATTCTCAAAGTCATTGTGTAGTTAGAGTAGCAACACATAAATAATTTTGTGCCTTTGTATTGAACTATTTACAAAAATATGGCTAGTTAATAGAAACTCGTTCTTGCATTTCTTCATATTGATCATGAATTGAGCCTATAGGACCAGCTCAAGATTATTATGGGTCTTATATACTCTTAGGGTAAGAAAAAAAAAGTGTAACCTTTTAAATTTGATCTTTTAGTTTGTTAAAAGTATTTCTCTGTGTGAATTTTCTTTTAGATTTTGCAATGAAAGCAAAAAAAAAAATTATCAATATTTTTTTATGGGCTTCTTTAAAATTATTCATTTTGAAAAAAAAAACTATCATAAAAAGAAAACTAGAGTACTAGACCGCCTTAATTATTAGAACCCCTTGAGCTCTAAGAATCCTTATTGGTGAATTTTGGTGGCTATTATTAAATATAAAATTATTAAAATTTGAATAAATGGAAGAAAAAGAGTGTTTTTGGTTGAAATAATAGGGTGTATTGAAATATAAAATTAATAAATTTGAGTAAAGATAAGAGATAGTGGGTATTATTGGAGAGGGAGAGTATCAAAAGTATCAAATAGTTGATACTTTTGAAGAGAGAAAGAGTGTGTTTTTAATAATTTTATATTTAAAGAGAGTATAAAATTAATAAAAATTGAGTAAAAAGATGAAAGAGAAGGTATAAAGTTAAGTAAAAGAAAGAGAGAGTGTGTTTTTAATAATTTTATATTTAATGATACCCTCAAAAGTTCATGGATAAAGATGGCCTTACGACAGGATTGGGCTTCGACCGTCCTCCTACTAAGTCGGGCATGGACCCATGCAATATTGAACCCTAAATTGTTTGTTTTTTGCTAAATAAACCCTAAAGTTGATAAGGAAGAGATGATTATTAGAGGTCGAGAGAAAGCGAAAACGCATTACCAACAGCCACCGGGTAAAAGAAGAAGAATGTCGTTTCCGATGCTTCCTGATGATTTGGTATCAAATTGTATAGCTCGTGTCTCAAGGTCGAACTACCAAACTACTCTCTCTTTAGTCTCCAAGAGATTCCGGTCTTTCCTTACTACAACGGAGCTGTACCAAACTCGAGCCCTTTTAGGCCGCACCGAGAGTTGTCTCTACGTGTGCTGTCGCCTCCATAACGATCCTATCTCACTAATTTTGTTTACTCTCTCCCAGATACCAAATAGCTCGAGGAAAGTTTTGGTCCCGATTTCGTCTTCAGAGTCTCTCTCTGACTTGCCAGACGTTAATTACACTGGTTGGTCATAATATCTATGTTATTGGCGGTTTCATACACTACAAAAAGAAAGGCTCTTAACGTCGGTTTTGTTTTACCTTAACGTCATTTATAAATTGACTTTAAAAACTTGGCGTCAGTTACAAAACCGACGTAAAGTATTTTTGCATCACTAATACAAGCGACGCTATCTTTAGCGGCAAACACTAGCATCAGTTTTTTACTATTTTAGCGGCAGTTTTAATACGACTTGAAACATAATATTTAAGTCAGTTCTAAAACCGACGCAAGTACGCACGATGATTATCACTAATTTTTCATTTCATTAACTAAAAGCAATAATAACAAAATTAATTATTAATCAAGAAATAGTATTTTTCAATAAAATTTAACCAAATGATAGTTAGACCATTCCAAAGTAACAATCATTAATCATCTAGACACAAAACATCAAACATAAGATCCAAGTCATGACCGTATTTTCAAACTCAAACAAAACATTGGTCTACATTAGCTGCGGTAGAGACGATTGACATCATAACACCACGGGCAGCCAAAACAGCAATGACACCACCATCACTTCAGTCTGTGAGCCTGGTTTCATAAGAGTTGCAGAAGGCGAGAGAGGGTGCAATGAAGTAAAAACACATGAAAAAGTACCATTTCAACGGTGGGAATATCATTGGGATTACTGCGGTTGAGATAGCTGCATAACCATAACCCGCAAATCCAAAGGGTATACGATCCTTCAGGAATAATTCAGTGCTTCTCTTCTTTACCGACAATACCTCTCAGAGACTTCGCTGTCATCTGAATTAAAGAATAAAAAAATATACAGTTGCAGAGGTTAATAAGCTTTGGAAAGTGGCCATGAGAGAAAACTAAATTATAGTCTAACACAAAAGCATGTAAGAAATGAGTCAAGAGGAGGTTTATTCTCTCACCTACAACGTTGGTAATAATGCGTAGATTGAGTTGTCTAGAGCTATTGATGCATATTTCCTTCAGTGACAACGATGATCTTGACAAGATTGTAGAGACTGTCACCAAGGATAATGGTAATGACGATAAAGACCTTAGAAAAGTCAGGAATGACATAACAGCATCAGTACTTGAAACTTATCTGTTTTCTTTCTTTTCGACATAAATGTGATTTTATAAAAAAAAGTTTCTAGTTGAGCTGATTATACTGTACCTCATCTCAACCAAACTACAGGTCGGAATAGTTTAGGGTGCTCAGGACAAACACTGAGTTCTGAAGCAAGAAAACCATCTCACTAGACCAATAAAAGAAAACAAAGACAAGTTAACAAACTGATTATCATTGGACTATAGCATGATATACTATATTAAACGTCAAACTCATAATCTATAAGACAGTCTCCATCAATCAAATAACAATGATCAAACACTTTCAGACATAATTACTACTTCAGGTAAGAAAATTTCAAGTTGTGATTCTCATATATACCTTAACTGGATTCACTCGGGTATCCATATCATATTGTCTTCTCTTGTCTCAGTCCATGAACTGATCGTATACAGCCTAATTATTAATGAATCTTTCTTTTGTTGTCTCTCCTTCCTCAACAGTCCCTTTTCCATCATAAACTACATGACAAAACCCAACTAGTCAGATAAACAGAATCCAAAATAGAGTCGCAGCGTTTTGATAAACATAGTGAGTCCTTGTATCAATAAACAGAAGCTCAAAAAGAAGTTCTTAAAAATCACAAAACTAACTTTGAATCTTTGATACTTTGGCCAGTTGTTTATGTGACTAGTGCTTATGTGCGACTACAAGATCCCAAATTGTGAAATGTAGCTCAAGAAGGAGTTGTTCACAATCATAAATCTAACTTTGATAGGCTACATATGTATCCTCTAATAATCCAGAAAAGTACCATCGGGATGATAAGATTTGGCTAATCGTATGTTTGTCACCATAAGATGCTCATCTCGGCCCAACTCTGTACTACCAAACAACATAGAACAATATTTAGATTAAACAACAGGAAACACAACACAAGAGAAAAAATATCGAAGCAAACTCATAATTCAGTAGAAAATCCCCTTAAAACTCAAGTTATGGTTTCTGAAATCTAAGATTCACCGGTGAAACCCCTACCCAAACTTCTTCACGAATCCATCATTATCCTGAAACGAAATCTACAAATCGTTTATACAATCGAGCTAATTAGTCATAAACACGAAGGAATCTAAGAAATTTCTACCATACAGAACATTCTCAACCTTGAACTATGGGAGAAGAGAAGATAAGTTTCGGAGATAGGAAAAAAAACATCAAATCGAACTGGGATATGACTCTCCGCCGTTCGAATTGACCTTCAAACGGGATATGAACGATTCCAAGGCAATCGGAGACAGAAAATAACGAGAAACCCCATGACCGAATCCAGTTCTCCGATTTCGATTTTGAGAGAAGAGGAGTGCGTTTGTATTCTGATAATTTTTTTTTGTTTATTTCCATCACAAACGAATAAACAATTAAATTATTTATAAATTGATATGTTTAAAAAGTAGAGTCGGTTTAATAAGCGACGCGAATCTTCTTCCTTTTTCTTAATTTCACGTCAGTTAATAAACCGTCGTTAGAAAAGCGACGTGTGGTGATTAATTTCTTGTAGTGACAAATAAAAGTGCATCTTCTAGCGTCATGGTCATGGTCATGTGGGCTMTCGTTCTCACACTTGGCGCGAGGCACCAAGCATGCGGGTCGCACGTGTGTTCCCATCTGTTTGCGTGCTTGATGGGAAGATATATGTAGTAGGAGGTTGCAAAAGTCTCGATACGACGAATTGGATGGAGGTATTCGATACAAAGACTCAGCCTTGGGAGTTTGCGTCTGGTCCTAGCGAGGAAATATGCAAGGAAGATACTAGGTACAAAAGCATAGGGTATAATGGAAAAATGTCAATTACAAGATGCATAAAGGAAGGTGTGGATAGCGGAAGACGTTACTATATATATGTAGGGGTGGTTATGACTCATCATCTCATTTTGTGATAGACAATGTGCTCTTCCTTTGTGATATCTCCATGATCTATTGGTATGACTTCGAGGTAAGATGTTGGAAAAGGTTGAAGGGTTTGGAGAAATTGTTTTGCATTCGTCATTATGTTCATGCTAAAGCGGCGAATTATGGTGGAAATTAATAATGGCGGTTTTATGGGAGCAGCATGTGTATGCTAATAAATTTTACCGGGAGACAAAAAAATTGGTGTGCGGAAATTACAATTGATAGAAGCCAAAAAGGGGAGATTTGGGGGGGAACCTTGAGTGGTTTGACGTTGTGTCTACAACAAATGAGCAATATGATGTATTATCGCATGTTTTTGCTGCTACTCTTTGATGAAATACCAAATTAAGGAGAAATATTGATCGATGGAAATACCAATTTAAATATTTTTTTAAACATTGTTTCATGCTTAGTTTATATATTTACGAAAGAATTTGGTTCTAATATGTAAGATTTTATCTTTCGAAACTCTTCGTCTAATTTACATGACACCGATCACAACTGATAA